GTTCCACGACTTATGAGCAGATACATCCGCACAATCAGTTGTAGGAATTGATTCTATATGCAACAACAAGTGAAGGTAAGTTAACTCATGCACTTATAACCATGCAGATATTCTTTTTCCAGTTCGTGATACCGGATAACTTCGAATGTGGGCATAGAGTTCTGTTCACTTGAATTATGGAAGAATTTAAAGTTGACGCAATTTAGACACTGGCAGTTTCCGTCGAATAATGGGAGATACTTCCCAAACGAAGGTTTTCACCTTTGACTGTGCACAGCCCATACATGTTAATAAACTTTTTTGCGCTGCAGCGACATAAAAGTTTCTATCTAATACTCTTGTGTTCTATTTGTTCTGCATGCGGTGGGAGTACGGCATGGTAGACCGGTACTCCCTAGGATATGAACACGTTTCTAAACGCAAGTGTAATTCCGTACGAACACTATCGACCAGTATAGGTGGCGAATTATAAGTACTTTAGTCAGGCCTAAACATCTGCCTAAAGTTGAGCGAGTACATCTGCTAGTCATGGGTAGATCTGTGGGGACCAACGACTAAAATACTTAACCTCTGTACTTAAAAAATAAGAATAGAACTTAGGCACTGTGGTGGAGTCCGATTTCTTATAAGGTCAAATTTTAAATTTGAATACAGCTTGATTCCACACCGTATTTTCAGTACTCGTATGGAATTTTCAGCATAGATATCGGTAGCCCAAATTGTACAGGCCAAGGTTAAGTGTTAACAAAAGTAGTGCATTACTATTGTTTCACTTAAAAAATCATGTCAATCCAAATGATTACGAATATTGACGTATACCGCAAAATGAAGTCTTTGTGAGATGAATAGTTGAGTAGACGGAGCTGTGGCAATCGTAAAAATATTTTGCTTATACTGAATTATGCCACCGATTACTTTCTCAGGTCTCATTGATAACTCGAGCCTCCATCTCCTCATTATGATAAATTTAGTTTCCCTCAGATAGAATAAGAAAAGTATGATAAGCAGGGTGATAGGTATATTTAATGAAAAATAATAGCAAGCAACTGTCTGTTGGCAACTGTTTGTCATATTTATTTCGGCGGTGTTGAATTGCTTTGACCAGGTCGACTGACATTACGGGACTTTTGCAAATAAGTGAGTGAAGTGTATCTTTGAATTCGTTGCAGTTAGAAAAAAGTGATATAAAAATTAAACGCTTTATGTTTGCCTACCTTTGCTGAAAGAGTTTTATTCTCTTTTCTCATTCTTTGGTCATGACAGCATTCTTCTGTGGTTTTCACTATCACATACATTGTTCCTCTTGTCAAGTATAGCACTAAGCAAATGACATGTTGATGTTTTGGTATCATTCTGAACTTCGGAAGATAGTTTACAAATCTAAAATGCAGTAATTATGGAGTCTTCAGTAGCACTTACTTGTAAACAATCTAAGCATTTCCTCTGGATACTTTTCTCATCAAACATTGGTACTTTAGCATCACTTTGCTAGGAAATTTTAGGTCGGATTCCTTTTCATTATCTGTGCCTTAAGGGGCAATACCACCATTGACTACATATGATTCTATGATTTCAAGAAGTCTCTCCAGACCAGACACTACTTCAGATGTGGTAAAAATATCAGTCTCAAGTGCAACTTCCATATCTATCATAGACAAAGGTACCTCCTGAAGGAATCAAAATTATCTTGGTGATCTGAAAGTGAATGATTGTTACAACTGATATGACTTAGGTAACACGTGTACCAGTTTAGTAGGAAGGACCTGCAGGTTGCTCCTCGACACAAAAGCAGTAATAACTTTAAGCTGTGCACCATTTCCGAAGGACTATGCATAGTATTCTCATTATCCCAATGCACACTGGTATCAAGACAAGGGGATGCCGTTTGATTCGGTAAGCAGTTACGGTCTTCCGAAATTCCATGTGACAATTTCAACTCCACTAGTATCACATCTTCGGCTGATCAATTCTAAGCACAAACTTCATCGAAACGCACATAATCACCACAAAATTTAGCCGCTTGTCTCATTCACCGTGTGTGAGTTATGGAGAATTTCACTGATCACATATGAAAATAAAAGGGCTTAAACTCCTCACAAAAGATATCTAAATTATTGATCCAATACGCAATACGAATAATGACAGGTGAGTTATTCGAGAAATGCCTGACAAATCTTATTCAGATATCTTCTGTTTCACTTGTTGGTAATAGACAACATAGGTCATGGGAGACCTGTTTTTCTGGCATGGGCGGGATGAGAGAGGTAGTCGAATGTAGTTTGGATCTTGGAATAATTCAAAAGAATAGTACGGGATACATCAATTACAGAAATTTTCATAATGGATTAAGTCAACTGTAAGATATCCGCCGTGAGCAATAGTTATATTCAGGCGAAAATCGTCATCTGCGCATTTCATTTATCCCGAGATTTCAGCAAAAATTTGGAATGAAATGAAGCCTTACTTGATATATCTAGACCCAAAATCCCTTTAGTACGCAGGTTCTTATATCGTCTTGTTAAAGATGCAACACCCGAAAGGTAAATGCATTGATCATTGACCCTGGGGGTTCCACCATTGCCTTAGTGTCATCAGGACTGTAGATCTCAGGGTATGCAATTACATTAGGCATTACTGGGTGCCTAAGAAAGAGACGTGAGCTATGGCATATATGCGGAATGCTCTGTTACTGTCTAATAGTACTAACAATAGAGTTGCAAGCTCTAACGGACATCTGAAAATATATCTACACAGAAGAATCCATTACTAGCTTGCATGTACAAGACATAAGTGCTGTGCACGCATCGAGAAACGTCGAAGTTTTGAGGCCATCGTCTTCCTTAACCATCAACTGCCTCTGAGTGTTAGTAGCCGTGTATAGATCCTACATCAGCCCCTCACATCCTAGGAGCGACTCCTCTAGGAATGTCGTATCGATTAATCTTTAGTTTTGGAAATCTGTCTAGGGTTCACCATTAAGTGCATTCGTCCCTGCTCGGCAACTTCAGACTTAATTTCGGAAAAGCCTATAATATTGGTTGAGAAACATGTATAATGCAACTATGCGGAACAAGTTAATTTCGCTTACTAAGCATTTTCCGTTGAAGTTCCTACTCCAAACTGTTATCAGTTTTTCCCATCTTATACATCATACACAACGCAGTAGTCAATGTCTGCAAACTATTTGTGGTGTTAAGAGTACGTCTTCCGAAATCCGTAGTCATGGTTTGCTGGAACATGCTCTAATTATTACGCAAGGCGAACAGCACTCCTTGACTGTCCTGCTGAGTCTGTTTTAAAGGTCTAACCAGTTCAAACTTCATGCAAATAGTTGACAGAGTCAAAAGCATAAGCTATGAACTGATGCATACCTACTTCTAGATATCTGAATTGTAGCCTGTAGCCAGGAATGTTTTTATGTTAGAAGGCGACGGTTCTGTCGGTCTCTTGTCCAAAATGCCGGTGTCTTATTCATGTTTCTCTCTAAAGGATGATTATCTGACATTTTATGGTTGATTGCCATTCGTTTACTTACTGGAATAATGACACCAGGAGACGAGAAACTAGTGCTGAGACAACGGGTATAATCTGGGTAAGTTGGGGAAGAAACTCGGTGAGCGGACTACCCTATAATACGTCGGTCAGGTAGGATATTATCTAGCTCTGGCAGGAGAATAGGTCCTTACTCAGATGCCTCAAGGGACCTCTGAAACATAAAAATGGAAGAAAGAGGTTAGTTCAAGAAAATTTCATCACATCCTAAAGAGTGCCTCAATGCCCGCACAAAAGCAAAAATAAATACTTGGTACAAAAAACAGTTTGGCCTACTCTCTGTGTGGCCTTAGTATAGTGTGCATAGCTAGTGCATGTGCGACGTCGCATTCTAACGAAGAAGCCAGGTACATGCATGAATTATTATGGGGAAGCGGCCATGTTTTAAGCAGTTCTACACTTCATGGACAGGCAGCTGGATGCACTCTCTGCCATTCTCTTTTCGATACTGTTTAAAACTTACATGCAACCCTGAGTGGACGCCTATAACATCATCCCTCCATCCTTCCGCAAGAAAACTATGGTCTCTTAGATATGGTGCTAAGACAAACTTCAAACAGGACTACTGGTCTTCACCATTAAACCTACAGGAAGTCTTTGCAGGAGCCGTGTCTGTCTGTACTTAGGAGTTACAAGCTACATGACGTCAGCAGATCAAGAGCAGATAGAACTGTCTGCAGTTGATGGTACAACCACTAAGTCATCAAAATCATCCTTATCGCAGTGCCATCATGGATTATTCACCAGTGGGTCCAAACTTGGATTTTCCTCCGTTCACTTTAGTTTGAGGTTTTATGCATTTAGATTACACTACCAGCACCTTTAGCCACTGTGATTTCATTCGAAACCATAAAAAGTGACTTGATTATTATTCAGTGAAACTCACGTTGCCTCCGATTAAATGTCAACCACATTAAATCCAGACGCAACATAAACACCATCTGCTGGTGAAAACGGCTTGTAGGCAAGCCAGGAACGTGCTTCACTTAATGCTGCTATCGCTGGCACAATAACAGTCCTTCTACTCTCACTCTAACTCAGCAATCAGCCTACTTGTCTGTTTAATTATTACTTACTTTTACGTGAGATCACTTATGTTGCCCTAAAATGACTAATATAGTATAACTTACCAGAGAATGGACTAAATTTGGCGCCAGTAGTTTCACCTTCTTAACGTAGTCAGCAAAATTCTACACAAATTTAGATATTTAGAGTGACATAGAATTTCGAGAACTGTACTCACATTGTCAACAAATGAAATCACGTATCTACAGTTAACGAAGTAGGTATTTCAGTTGGACATAAAGAAAAAGATTTTTACCAATAAATTTACTGTTGGGATTTGAAAATTGCACCTAGATTAATAGTCAAAACGCTTGAGATAGAATAGGTGTTATTGTTATTGAACAGTCATAAATCTGAATCTGAAAGCAGTATAAGTTAGTAGAAGCGGGGAATCTGTTGCGGTACGTTACATATGTTGGTTTACCCTAAACCCTTACATATTCAAGCTTTGTTCCATTTGCTGTTACGCTTTGTTATACTTGAGTATGTTTTGGTGAGGTATCATTTTGTCGAATATATTTTTGATCGTGTTTAAACTGAAACGAACCCGTTTAACAAAGGTTCTTCAGGTGTTGAATCTTTCAAACGCTTCTATTCATTGTTACAATAATCTGCCTGCATAGAACAGTGGAATTATTATGGTTGTTGGCTAAACATGCCCGAGTTTCCTAAAATCGGGCTATATTATTCTTGAAATGGCTCCAGCGCTCTGAGTTCAGATTCACTTATTTTTGGGTCTATGTTTCCCTGTCTAAATAATTCTTGCTCAAGCACTATCTGAATTATTCAGTTATATATTTTACTACTCCTTCTTCCAAAAAGCCTTGACGAATGGATATAATTGAGTTCAATACTAATGTTCAACCTAAGTTACCGAGTTGTACTAACCTTGTATGCATGAATACGAAATAAGTCGAGTCCATATTTTTATCACTAAAATCCCATTAGTTTGCCTAAAAAAAGAAATCAAATCGCCAGAGTCATTTTTCTAGTATAACTGTTGTGCCGGGAACCACTGTCGGTGGCACAGTGGTTAGGACTCTCGCCGACCATGGTCATGTGCATGCATGCACATGGTCCGGGGTTCGATCCCCTGCCGACGCACACCCGATATCTATGGTCGGCCTGCAAAATTTGGGCTACCGATATCCAAGCTGAAAATTCCATACTTGTACTGAAAATACGGTGTTGCATCAAGCTGTAATCAAATCAAATCAAATCAAATCAAACTGTTTCAAAACCTATAAAGTGTATTCGAATCCTTCTTTGGCCAATGCTCACTACTTCTATGTGATATTATAGCCCTATCAGGGGTATGACTGGCAACTATAAAGAGTAGATACCCCCACTCAAGGTTCAACTACAAAGCCAATCAAATCGTTAACCTTCCAAAATTGTTTTGTGTGCGAACGGGTTTGATATGTCAAATAATATCTGTGAGAAAGTAAAGCATGTTTTCACCGTAAGTATAGGGTCAGTTTCTCATGGGCGCTTCTATGCGACATATGGGATCAGTCTGCATTTATAAATCCATTGTGAGCGATTGACGATCTAATTCACTTCCTTAAGGTCATTTGCTGGGGCTTGGATGTGGTATCCATTCTTTATGGTTGCCAATATATTTAAACTAGTTTTTCCGAACCCGCTGATATTAAAGTCTTACTTACTACGCAATGGAAAGTTTCCTTAACCTAAAATTTGCAGCTAAAAGTGTTTTCTAAGTTGTGGCGTACTATAACTGTTAGGCTAATGTATATCTAGACTGAGGGAAGTGGTGTTTCGGTGATACAATGTAAACTGTGATCTGCCTGCCAGATTTGTTTGGTTATATAAAAAACTCGATGGCCAGCAGTCAGTCCTTACTGGTAATATTATCGAGGCCCCTTTGCAAAATTTGCCTAATATTTCTTTCATTCAGGTCTTCATGCGAAATTTTGGTGAGCGTAGCTAGTCGACAATAATGCACCAAGTACTGAGCCCATCGCTTTGTAATGTCGTCCAGTGTTAAGCCTATCACTGAACAATTCGGACCTTTTAAATAGACAGCTAGCTATACCGAAGCTCGAATTTTAAGTACATCCTGGAATCATCTGCTATTAAGATCCTTGAAGGAGGTACTTAGGCTCTTTGTTACCTTTCGACTTATCTGAAGTTTTCTTATTTGTGGTTTGTCAAGACAAATCATGCTACGCTGGAATGGCTTTTCGTATATTGTCATCTCCGGGATTTTAACTGCAGTACTAGCAACAATCTGCTTGTAATTTATAGGGTATCGTCTATCCATCCATTTCCGCAAACTTAACTTTCAAGCTGTAGTAATGCTTTTTTAAGAAATAGTGCAGGGATAGAAATAGGAGAATCAAGTATGTGAAGCTCTTCGATAGGCCTCAGATGTTTGTTATCTGATCTCATTAATTTTGAAAGTTCAAAAAGATGGTTGGATTCGCCAATTGCTTCTTATACTTCCTAGGTGGTTTAGTCTAAATGAGCGTAGCTCCTCTCGCTACCTACACCGGGCCTCATTGGTTTAGCCATCTGATTTTCGAATGTTGAGCTACGGATTCGAATTTAACTCTAACTATTATAGTTTTGACAACCATGTGGTATTATTTGCCTTCATATCATTGGTGTAGCTTGTTGTCAAGCTCAGTAACATGCATGTCGAGTGGCTTTTCATCTTTTCTAGGCAAACTGACAAGATTCCATTTCCTCTAAACCCTCCAAGTGATAATCTTAGAAATCCCGGTTTATGTTTTTCACTTCGAATTGAGTTTGATCACATCTAGTTACGGAGAGTAAAGTGGCTAAAGATGCCAGGAGTTTCGCTCGTCTAGTGGGTTGGATACGTCTAGATGCTTCATCTAAGGTATATCCGATTACCTGTTAAAGACTTTGTACGCTGCTATCTAATATGTAGATGTGATAAATCACCAGTCACCTATTATATGTAATTGTTAGTCCTGAAAGAATCTGAATGTACTGTTGATTGTAATATAGTGGAACCTGAAATATACTTGCAGATTTGTCGTTTAACTCATGTTTAAAAGTGCCGCCTTACTACTGAATTCAATATTACGTGCTGAATATGTAAGATGAAGAAAGACCAGATTAATTACCAAGAAACAGTATATTTTAATGAGTTTGAATTATACTGTATATATCGAGTACTTGATCAAATATTTAGCACTTAATTGATATCATTTTGTTTTTTAGATGTACTTCAGAGATTATCTTGATTTCTGATTCCTTCGAAAATAGACAATGTACAATCTTATGAAGTCTTTAGTTTATTGTATACCATGCATATGATTATCCTATGGTTTGGCTCACTTGTTTTGTCTGTTTCACAACCCAGCTTAACTTCTTTGGATTTGCAGTTTAGTCATGCAGACAGGAAGCTGCTGCGATGATAGTACAGGCAGTCTAGGTGGAGATAGTGAAACAAATACTACTGTCGCTAGTAGTCCTGGCTTTGATCTTCCTGTGTCTAAGGGCTCACCATTGTTACCAGAACCTCCTGAAGATATTATTTTGTCTCAACGTGCAATATACGATAATTTAAGCTCAACGTCTGGAAAAGAAATAAGCAAAATGGTGAGTTTTAAAAATTTATGTGCATTTTGATAATAGTAAGCTAATTTCTTAGTTAATGATTCTTAACTGACATTTAGTAATTAGTGAAGAACCGTTTAGATTAGAAAGTGTATTTCCTGAATTAAAATATGACTGCGTCTTTTCTTTAAGTAAGTCGCATATATACATTTTATTTCGTCACTTACATCTATCTTGGAGATAAAAATTACAATTCTAATCAGTTTTTCAAGTCATTTCATAATGATTAGAGTTTTCGTATTTTGGATGAAGTACTGTCGACCTATGCACTAGTTGGACTGGAAGTTGAATATTACAATGATTATTCGCATATATTATTGTGTTATACTAAACACTTGAATTTCAATTGTTTGCATTTACTTGTCTTCAGGAAAATCCTATCAGTTCCAGCTTGTCGAACACTACTACTAACATCATGATTTGTGAATCTTCAACACCTAAATCTGTCAAAGCAGCTAATTTCATCCCTCCTAATCCATTTACTAATCCACCATCCTTTGAACCACCGAGTCTGCCTTATTCTTATTCTGAAAATATTGCATCTGGTTTACCTGCCTACTCCCCACAGTTCACTCCAACCACTTGTGCACCGTCTACATTTCCTTCGCCTGGATCTGCCTTCACAGAACTTCATCCGAAAATCGGATCATCTGGTAAAACTAGTTGTTTTGTTCAACCTACAGCAATAACGTCGTCAATGTCGCCTAAATCACTGAACAAGGAAAGTATTCAGTCAAATTATCCAACTAGCAGTGCTCGAAATGAATTGTCGGAATGTATTCCTAAAACTACAGTTGCTGTAAAACATTTGTGTCGTATCTGCGGTCAGTCACATGACCCAACCTCACCTCATATATATAATTATACACAAACTGTGGATGCTGATTTGTGCTGTACAGTGAGTTCCAATTTTGTTCTTACTATTGTATGTTGCACTCTTGTGGTTGTATCTTTTTCCATTTTTAATCAAGTATTCATAAATATTAACAAGTGACTTCAGTAGTTGAGTAAATAACTTTTTATCGTTCAGTGATAGGAGTGGCGTTGGAGTCACAGCGGCCACACTATCACGCTGAGGTGTAATTACATTCATCCAATGAGTCCTGTATAGAACAAAACCTGTCTCGGATTCCAGTGATGGTTGCCAAACATCAAGTGACATTCCCAAGTAATATTCTCAGTTTTCTTTGAGCTAATAATTTTCTATTCTGTTGTCAAAATTCCAAATTATGTATTTGTAGTAATTCATGAAGTCTGTTGAAGAAAATATGCCTTATTGTTATTTTGTAACTGTCGATTCTAGGCGTTTAAGACGTTGAGTGTAGTGCGAATGTTAATTCACTAAACTTTCCTTTGTGGCGAATGCAAATAAATTGCTTAAAGAGTGGCGTAGTTGTTTTAAAGATAATTGAGACAGTAAAAGACTATCGATGGTGGCTTTTTGGCTTCCATCGTTATCATGCGATTCGCCCCTGTAAAATGTAAGATTATGCTGCAGGATTGGACTTCACCGACCCCTAGATTAGAAATAGGAAGTGAAGTGGTAGAGCACGTTGACCGCTTCACTTACTTGGGAAGTACCATCAGCCGGTGCCAACGGGCTGATCTCCGACGAAATCTCAGCACGAATACAGAGGGCTAGCTTCGCATACGCCAGTTTACGCCGTCTCTGGCATAGACGCGATATCCGACTATCGACCAAAGGGCGTGTGTACTGCTCAACAGTCCGCTCCGTCCTCCTTTATGGCTGTGAGACCTGGCCATTGAGAGCAGAAGACATGAAAAGATTATCTGTGTTCGATCATAGGTGTCTGCGTTCCATCTCCCGCGTGAAGTGGTATAATAAGGTGAGCAATATTGAGGTTAGGCGTCGAGTGCTAGGTAAGGAGGGGAAATCAATCGATGAGACTGTGAAATTACATCGACTGAGATGGTTAGGACATGTGTTACGTATGCCTAGTCATCGCCTTCCTCGACTGACGGGCAATGTTAGCTGATATAGTGTCAGGCTGGAAAAGAGCTAGCGGCGGTCAAATGAAAACATGGCACCAGTCAATGAAATCCACAACAGTTAGTCTAAGTCACGTAGGGAGATGTAGACTTCCTGGTTGGGGTCCTCGGGACGGTAAAAACCAATGGTTGGAAACAATTGGTGATATGGCTCAAAATCGTTCTCAGTGGCGCAGATGCATCCACTCCTTGTGACTTATGATTTCCAATGAAACTGTTTTGTTCTCCGTTATTACTATACATTTGTCTCACACCTCTGTTTACTGTCTATATTATGCATTTCTCCTACTTTCTTCTCTTGCTTTGTGTGCTACAAGGAGGGAGTGTGACGACTTGAACTGCCGCACATCAGTACAAAGTTCTATGTTGAAAACAGACAGACAGAGACAGTAAAAGGAATTGTTGAGATTCCTTTTTCTAAAGAAAGTTTCCCATATATAAGGTTTATGGGGTTTAATATAATTTGATTGGTGAGTAGTACTGTTAATTTCAAGTGTTCGCTTACTATGTTGATTAGGATATGAGAATAATGGAAATGGTCTGAAGATGGCTTTATTGTAGCTTTTAATTCTCTGTGGAGATGTGGCTCATTGGCCTAAACACTCCACTTCCAGTCAATTGGTCCCGGGTTCGAGTCCCATTCCACTTGATTCAACCTGGGCAAGTGAGTAGTATCGTTAGACTCCACACAGTAAGTGTGACTTATAGCCCAGTACTGGGTAACTGTGATCTAACTAAATTTCAACCCCCTGATAGTTAATAATGTAACCACTAGGATTTGTCGACCACAGAAACTGATTCGATTGCTAGGTATAAAAGAAACTCATTGTTTCCCACCCTCCAGTTGGTTTATACACGGTTTGTTGCTTCTATTTTCATGATTACTTACAACTCATTAGTTTTACCAATTACCATTTGGCGACTAGTGAGCGCAAATAATTTCAGCCTACGTTTGCAAAGTTCGTAACATCAGCACTGAGTGACACAGACTGGAAAGTCTGAAGTCAAATGAATTTTCTGTGATTCTAACTCTCTGGTAATTGAGTGATTGTTATACCAAAATTTATAACTACTTAACTTCAAATTTGGTAAGTAGTCAAATTATAGTGGGCCTTGCTAACTAGTGTTAATATACAGTCGTGTTTTTTGATCTAACTTTTCCCATTTATTGTTCTCTCTGTTTTCACTTGCTATTCGTGCTTATTTTTAAGTTTGTCTATAGTCCATCTGTAACGTATTCATTTATAACTCGTTGATTTTAACTCATTATATGAAGTATTGCCTATTTATACGTGTTTCTTCGTATTTTAGTTATGCTGTCAACCTTTGATTGATCCCCTTGATACTAAGTGTGGTCATACGTTCTGTTCACCATGTTTAAAGAATCATTTAGCTGTTCAAGCTCTTTGTCCTGTGGATAGACAAATTATCAATTATTTAGAATGTCAACAAGCTTCCAATATTGTTAAACGGTTAGTTAGTTAGTAATGGTATTTACTACTGTTGTTTATAAAAGATTTCTATTTTGTTTGCACATAATTTTATCTGACTTAAGTTATTATAACTTTTTTCGCCAATGCCTATTGGAATCCAATGACTCAGGTTTTTCAGCTGCTAATTCTTGAGTAGCAATAATAATAATAATAATAATTTTGGTAGTGGTGTTTACATGTTTGCTTAGGCTTTCCAGAGCAGAGAATAACTTCAGTTTACACTTGAACTATTTATTAAAATAAAACAGTTTTAAGTGTTGGTGTCATTAGTCATTGCATAAAATTTACCTCTTATCAAATGTAAGATGCTGCTGCAAGATTGGTCTGCACTGACTCCCAGTTTAAAGATGGGCAGTGAAGCGGTTGAGCATTTTGATCAATTCACTTGTTTGGGAAGTTGCATCAGCCCTAATGGACTGATTGCTGACAAAGTCTCAGCGTGGATACAAAAGGCTGGTATGTCAGCTGTCAACTTACGTCATCGCTGGCGTAGACGTGGTATTTGGCTATCGAAGGAATAATGTGTGTACGGCGTAACAGTCCTCAGTGCCCTTCTCTGTAACTATGAGACGTGAAATCTGGAAGTAGAAAATATGTAAAGTCTGACTGCTCTTGACCACAGATTTTTGCGTTCTATCTCTTGGGTTAAGTGGTATAATCTGATGAGTAATATTGAGGTTGAGCTTAGGGTACTAGGTAAGGAGGAGAAATCAGTCGACAAGATCGCAAAGCTGCAGCTAGGGCACGTGTCAAGATGCCCCTTTCCTTGACAAGCAATATTAGCTGATATAGGTTTGAGGTGGGAAAGGTTACTGATGGTCAAACCAAAACCTCGAATCAGTCCATGAAGTCTTCGGCAGTTGGTTTGATCCATATAGGGGAATACAGATTGTTTGGTTGGTGTCTCGGGTGCTAAGATCCAATGTCTTTTCATCGTTGGTGATATGACTCAAAACTGTCCTCATTGGTGATGTATTCACTCTTTATAGTCTCCCAGGTACAGTTCTGTGCAAAGTTCTATGTTTAAACTTGGGTAGTCAGACAGACAGCTCACTTCTCTCCCACCAAAACAGTACTTGTCATACAATCATATTCCATAGAAATATAAATTTTCTTCTGCAAACAGTTCGTTAATAAGAAAGCTTACGTGTTTAAGGGTTGAATTAAGGAACAATATTGAGGAATATTTAAAACATGTAGTTAGTTACGAATTTACAACCGTGTAAAAAAGACACTTATTCCTTCTGATTAGAATTCTTCTTTATGTCAGCTTCATTCAAAATAGAGTTGTCATGATATAGACAACATCAGTATAATATTCACATTTCTTAACTCCAAATAGTTTAAAAAAATTGACACTGAGACTGTCTAAGATGGCCTTAGGTGGTCGACAAACTAATATTTATGTAATGTATGATAATTAAAGGTGAAGTGAAACTCTGTTACGAGCGGGATTCGAACTGGTCACCTCCGGATCATTCATTCATGCTCTTACTCATATAACAGTTGGACGTTACCTGGTGATGATTACACTCTGGTTAGCAATTGTGCCTGGTATCTCGTATCTGGTTGAGCTGCAAACCAGTTGTTCGGAGTCTGCCTGTTTGAATCCTCCTGTAACTTATACTTAAGAGATTGTTTCGGTTATGAATTTGTTTTGACAGTATTTAAATGATGACAGTAAATTCTGCTCAGGTTATTATATACTTGAATAATATTAAGATGGATCAAATTACCCATGGACATATGTAAATAGAACATGTTTTTCTTTTTCTTCTGCTTCTTCATTCATTGCGTTCTGAATGAAGCGTGGAGCTTCGAACTTTCAAGTTGCAGTGGCGACCACGTTGTTTTTGCAGAGTGAGGTTGCTAACCTTACTCACAATCTTCTCTCTTTGCCAGTCTTATTACTAGCTTAGCTAGGTTTAGGAGTGCGTCGGCCGGGGATCGAACCCCCGGACCACTTGCATGGTTGGTGAAAACACGTTACTTTTTGTGGTTTATTTATTAGCTGGATCTAGGTGATGATATTGGTTTGTACATATTGGTGCCTGCATTGCTATAGTAACAGAAATCTAGCGTTCTAGTGTTCTAAAGAGGCTTTCCTATGTATAATAGATAAGTGGTGTATCTGGTCAAGTTGGCACACATAGCACTAATATATTTTGCAAGTCAGTAACCATATGAGATTTTGTGAACTTTTCGTCTAGCTCATGACTGTTGTATGAGGGTTGACAGTACTAACTGACTGCCTTAAACGGCAGTAAACAGAATAGGCCTTGGATCTTTGACGGACTTTTCAGCGTTAAAGTACGTACATCAAAGTAGTGCAGTCAGTGTACTTTTTTAAGCCTTCGAGATCTACTCTTCACTTTTCATGGCTTAATTGTGGTCATTTTAAAGTATTTTTAAATGAGAACTGGCAGTACATTTCAGTTACTTTGTCCTTTTTGTACCCTGTTATCAAATTACAAGATACATGAAGTAAATGTGCGTCGGTGGTTCAGTGGTAGAATGCTCATCAAACACACATGTAATCCGGGATTCGACTTCTGGCTGACTCACTTCTAAACCTTGCTTAACCGGTAGTAGGCCCGGGAAAAAGAGAGGTTTAGGCATGGAGCTAGCTACCGTACCCCATATAAACAAACATTACCGCTACTGAAACTTCAAAGCTCAAGTTTGAAGCCCTGTATTCCAATTGGAGAACACAAAAGAATAAAAATAAATAAATAAAAGCGTATAATACCGAATATCTGAACAAATAAAAGGAGCTTGCAATGTTGATTTAGTAATTCTTTTATCTATTACCAAAACTATTGGTGATTAACTGCCAATACTACTAGATAAGTGTTAATTTTCAGCATTGTTGTCGATTTACGCGTTGTATATAAAGTTTTTACATTGATTATTGACATAATATCAGATTACTATGCTTTATTATGTTTATTCTGCGAAATTCATACTCCTAACCAGAAGTGAATAGAAATGTTTGTGCATACGTTTCATTCAAGGCTGTTTAACTATCTTTTGTTTTTTCTCTTAATCTTTTAGATTATTAGATAAATTATTAGTTGCTTGTCCTAATTCACCTACCTGTGATAGTATAGTTTATCGTTCAAATCTTGAAGAACATTTACGTGATTGGTGTATCAAGTTACATCCACCACGTGAACGGATAATACAAAGTGGTGGAGTGAAATCATCGCGTCCAGTTCAAAATAATCCATCTAAAAATGTATTTTTGTCTACTTTCATTGGAACTGAATCACACGACTCAAGTATGTTTCCACCAACAATATCTGAGTCAACAAGATGTACAAGGATGATGGATCCACAGATCATACAGCAGCAGCATCAGCAACAACAACAACAACAGCAGAGAAACATGAATTTTCACAGTCCACATAGTGACTCCAGTTTTGGTATTGTTTATCCTAATCAATATATGAAAGAGTTTCCTCATAGTAGTTTCGCATCAGTTACACGAAGAGGATCAGATAAGATAATGAAAACAAACTATCAGAACAGTTTACCGCATATTGAAGATCAGTGTAAGTCTGAGTATTTATTATCAAGCTTGCAGGACTGTGAAGTCTCCTGAGTGTATGTATTTCTTATGTTATTTATTACACCATAATGATGTATGATATAAGATGATGTTGCAGGATTGGACTACACCGACCGCTAGATTAGAAATAGGAAGTGAAGTGGTAGAGCACGTTGACCGCTTCACTTACTTGGGAAGTACCATCAGCCGGTGCCAACGGGCTGATCTCCGACGAAATCTCAGCACGAATACAGAGGGCTAGCTTCGCATACGCCAGTTTACGCCGTCTCTGGCGTAGACGTGATATCCGACTATCGACCAAAGGGCGTGTGTACTGCTCAACAGTCCGCTCCGTCCTCCTTTATGGCTGTGAGACCTGGCCATTGAGAGCAGAAGACATGAAAAGACTAGCTGTCTTCGATCATAGGTGTCTGCGTTCTATCTCCCGCGTGAAGTGGTATAATAAGGTGAGCAATGTTGAGGTTAGGCGTCGAGTGCTAGGTAAGGAGGGGAAATCAATCGATGAGACTGTGAAATTACATCGACTGAGATGGTTAGAACATGTATTACGTATGCCTAGTCATCGCCTTCCTCGACTGACGGGCAATGTTAGCTGATATAGTGTCAGGCTGGAAAAGAGCTAGTGGCGGTCAAACGAAAACATGGCACCAGTCAATGAAATCCACAACAGTTAGTCTAAGCCACGTAGGAAGGTGTAGACTTCCTGTTTGGAGCCCCCGGGACGGTAAAAACTAATGGTTGGAAACAATTGGTGACATGGCTCAAAATCGTTCTCAATGGCTGCAGCAGATGCATCCACTCCTTGTGACTTATGATTTCCAATGAAACTGTTTTGTTCTCCGTTATTACTATTCCTTTGTCTCACACATATGTGCAAAGTTCTATGTCGAAAATAGACAGACAGACACACACCGTAATCACTATCTGCATAAAATTAGCGTCCTATTTGTTGTGGAAAGCTTTTGACTAGGTAAACTTATGTAAATGATATGTATTTCAAAGGATTATCTATTGGTTCAGTAGACAAACTTTCGGGACGTTTACAAATAAATCTTCACAAGTAAAACAGAATTTTGCGCGGAGTATTGGAAATGTATTCGTATAAGGCATTAAAAGAATGCTTCTGTGTAAGAATTAAAGTTTATTATTTTTACGAATTTAATTGTCAATTATTGTGTCACAGGTGTACGAACAGTACCTTGTAGTGTAGTTGATGTATTAAAGAAGTAATATTAGTTACAACCTATCTGTATCTGCCTTATTTCTGAACTAGTAGTCCCCATATATAATACATGATCCGTTTATAATGAGTGGCGAATAAACCAGTTCTCATGAAATTAAAACTTATGAGCTAAACTTATAATTCAATTAAAGGACCACTGAAAACCAAGGAGTGCTGAACGGCTGTTTCACTTTAGTTTAGGAGTCTTCGGCAGTACGCACCCATGACCCCACCGGGAATCGAACCCAGGACCTTCAGGCTACAAGGTGAACTGGTCAACCATTCAGTTACGGGGAGAGAATTCAATTGCCCATTAATTGTAATTTCTGCCATTTCGCGATATATAGGACAAAATAGATGTCCAGTACTCGCTGATTTTCAATGGTTCTCTAACTGAAGTTAGGTGGTGATCAAACTTGAAATCAATGGAAGTGACTTCTGTGCATAAGTGTTTGCCTTGATTTTTATGTTTTCATAGTCGTTAAGCAAGAAATATGGCTCATTGGCTTATGCACTAGATTTTCGACCGATGGGGTTGGAGTCCGAATCCCCATTTCATCTAATTCAGCCCGACAAACTGGTTAGCATCACCGACTGTTACATAATAAATGCGGCACGTAGTGTGATGCATGAAAAATGGATTCCGTGTAACTGAGTACCATCCGTACTCAAGTCTTTAGTTTGTTATAGCGTGTAAAGGTGATAGTCCACTATTAACGCCGCCGACCGACCGTTTCAAAACACTTTGTTTGCAATGTCTGGTTTTCTTGAATATTAGTCTAAATATCTTCTAAATTTACTGTTTATTATTTCTGTATCTTTCGTACTCAAAAAGTCTTTCCATTTGAGAAATTGGCGTGATGTCTGTATCTTTCCGTTAAACGTGAAAGATTCACAAAGGATTCAAATATCTAACTAGTATTGTCTTTGTTATACTGCTTATTTTTGGCAAAACTATTATTTATGCAATGGTAGGTGTAGAGATTATCTGAAGGAAGAAAACTTCTCGATTATTTACGTTTTGAAATTCAGTCGAACAAGGTATTTGGTTGGAGGATTTCATCATGAGCTGACATCAGTTAGAGAAGCATTGGAAAACCTGGGAGTACTGGACAGCCGTTTCGTCCTGGTTTGGGACTCTTCAGGTGAGGCAATAACCCATCGAAGAAGACATTGGGAGGTGGTCGTGTCATGTCATAAATTGGCAGAAGTTGGAATTTATGGGCCATTAGATCGGGTCCCAGTGGCTCAATGGTCTACGAGCCCGCTAGCCTAGTAACCAGAAGGCCCTGGGTTCAAACCCCGGTGGGTGTGTACTGATGAAGAGTCCCAGTGGTTCTCTAACTGATGTCAGCTCATAATGAAATCCTCCAACCAATCAAACAAAATCCCTACAAAAAAGCCAGTACTTGAATAAGGTATTTATCAAATTTAATATCTATCATAGTGTTTTATGTTAGCTGAGTTTGAATTTTATTGAAGAAAGGCTGCTAAAGTCGATCAGACAAAGAAGTACACACAAAGTATATTTTCATAAAAATATTTACTACTGGTCGATTGAGATCAGTAGTTAGTTGTATACCACTCACATCAACCACTAGTGCTTGCTAGCCAGATGGAAGTGGCCGTTTTGCTCGTTTGAGACTAAGCTCACCAGCAATGTACATGGTTTGACTCAGCTCGGGGAGCTGAATCATATCAAACCACCTGATTTCTGGCTAGCTACTTGGGCGAACTTGTATTCAGATCACAATTTGGGATCTGAATAATTTTGGTTTTCTTAATTACAATAATATAACTGTATTCCAAACAATCATAATTATACAGAATGGAATTCTGTATTGCAACAGTTTAGCTCTATCTATAGATATATAAAAATACAAAATATAACAAAATTAATGAAACGCAAAAAATGAAAGTTAGTGGAATATATTGAATAATAAATAACTAATATATAATAAATAATAAATGTATTAATGATTCTGTATATAATTTGCTGTTTATTTATTGATGTAAAATGGTCTATAAGCTCTAATCTGACTTTTCTCTCTTCACACAAAACCCGTGCTAAATATGGTATTGCTTAATTTTCATGTCTAACTGTGCGCTCATAGATGCTCATGAAATTTCTTTTCTGGTTTCGCCCGAAGAGAAACAAGGAAAAGGTTGCGAAAAAGACGATGTTCAGTATCAGACAAGATAACTTAAGCTAACTGCTTAAAAAAATTGAAATACCTATCGACAAAAATGTCAGTTACTTGAGTCAAAGGCACACTAATAACCCCACTAACAACCTTCATTGTTCTACGTATTATTGCATAGCCTTTCTTGAGAAGCCCAGGGAAGAAGAAGGGGTAAGAGTAAAGAAGAATGGACAGAATACACGAATCAATAAGTTGTAAGAGATGAAGTCGAGTTAAGTCAGAGAGTCTTGGCTTCTTTATGCAATAAGTCAAACGATAGATTTCCTTAGAAATCAACAAGATATGAGACGACCAACAAAGATTTGAAAAGAAACTGATTCCAAGATAGATGATATTCGATTTGTCGTCGATGTTAAGAAAATCATGGGACCGAGTCAGTCCACGCAAGTGTTTTTCGTGCCTGAAACTAAAATCAACAGTATAACATTTAGATGGATTTAGTTGAAGACCATTTGAGTGAGACCATTGGTTAACCTCGGATAAGAAAATATCCATATCGGAACAATTCACTGCAGAAACTGCTGGGGCAGAAATCGTCAAGTCGTCATCATATTTAATGAAATTAGCTTTGGATGAGTACGGTGGGTCATGCAAAAAGAGAGAAAAAAGAAGTGGAGAAAGTAAAGTGTTATGAGGTATACCAGTTTCCATAAGCAAAGAAATGAAGAGCTTTCCATTTAAAACCGTATATTGTTTTCTGCCTGAAAAATGGGAAGAAAGCCACCTTGTGACCCAGGATTCAGTGCGTGCTTGGTAAAAGTGCCCTAAGATTATGGTCAAAAGCAACAGTGTAGGCTTAAAAAGGAGGCTCGAACAAACTTTGCACCTTTATGTAGACTCGAAACAATGTTGTGGTGGAATACAATGGCAGTATCTAAAGTGCTTCTACTGCATTTATAAGCAAACTACTTCGCATCACTGAAAGATTTTAACGAAGGTTTAAGAACAAGCAAGAGTAGTTTCTCCATAGTTTTCAGAAATAAAGATGTGATAGTGATTGGCCTAAACTTTAAACCTGATCCGGATGATGATTTTCGTACAACCACAACAGGCACTGTATCCCTGTGAAATGATGCACTAAAGATTTGTGTAATAGGATGACGCAAAATATCTGCACACTTTTGAAGTAAAATACTCGGTCACAACATTGGAAGCTAGGCTGTGTGATAGATTTAAGGATTTGAGACATCCTTTTCATTAAAGCCTAGAAAGTAGATAATTTATGTGATTATAAACATCAGGTACAACCAATATTATTAGCTTCTTGCTTTAGGAAAGATCCATATAAGGCATTTACATCAGAATAAGCACCAAAAGCAACTGTAGTGAATGTTCACTTGGAATTGAGAATCTAATTTACGTACATACTAAGCAATTTTCACAGCACTTCTACTATTTTGATTTGTGGCTGTGAGACATGGGCATTAAAAGCGGAAGACATGAAAAGGTCGGCTAGCTATCTTCGATCATAGGTGTCAGCATTCTATCTCCTATGTTAAGCGGTATAACAAGGTGAGCAATATTGAGGTTAGGTTTCGGTAGAGTGCTAGATAAGGAGGGAGGGGAAATCAATCGACGAGGTTGTGATTTAACATCGATTGAGATGGTTAGGACATATGCTACGCATGCATCCCTAACCATCGCCTTCCTCCACCGACGTGGAATGTTAACTGACTGACATAGGATGAATCAGGTTGGAAAAGAGCCAGTGGTGGTCAAACCAAAATATGGCATCAGTCAGTGAAGTCCATAACAGGTAGTTTAAGCTAGTTAGCCACGTCGGGAGGTGTAGACTTCCTAACTGGTTGAGGTCATCGGGAAGGTAAAAACCAATGAAGGCTGGATGCAATTGGTGATATGACTCAAAATCGTTCTCAGTGATGGCGCAGATGCAACCACTCCTTGTGACCTACAATATCCAATAAAACTATATTGTTCATCGATATTACTTTTCTCTTTGCTTCACATCTCTGTTTACTGTTTCTGTTTTGGATTTCTTTTTACTTTCTTCTCTTGCTTTGTGTGCTACCTGGAGTATGGCAACTCGAACTGCTGCACATCTGTTCACAGTTCTACGATGAAACCAGTCAGTCAGTCAGCCTACTATTTTTAACAAATGCATTTCAAGTATTATAACGAAAACTCGTTTTTATTAATATTCAATTTTTCTTACTTTTGTCTTTGGTATTGTTTGATTCCCAGATGTGAGCCTTTTTTGTTTTAAACACACAAATATATGTGTAGTAAGTTTATTACAAAACTTAGCTCTTCTAAAGCTACCATGAATAACTTTTTTTTTAAAGTTACTATTCGGGAATTTACAAACAATATATGGGGATATAAATTTTCATTAAGCTAATCTTATATTTTTCAGTGATCTCTTTTCCACGCTACTCTCTAGAATAGTAAAAAAATAATCTAATTTTGTTTGTTTATAACCAGTTGATTCGTCAATGCACTTGTTACAACAACCCTAGCAACTTTCTAATTTGCTAGTAGATATGTGGTTCATTGGCTCAGGCAATCTGCTTTCAGTTTCCTTCGAGTTTCTCTTTACCCAACAATGTTTAAGAAATTTGTTAAATAGTATTATTAGCCCTCAGATAATAAATCTTGTGCATTACTCTAAGTGTGCGGAAGTGCAATGGCAGTATTAACTAAACAGCTGCCCTCATAAACGACCTAGTAAGACAACCACCTGCTTCGGTCTTGATGCCCGGGTGTTATCGCAGCTGTCGCACAAACTGTAAGGCTTCGTGTGGCGCATGATGTACCAAGTGTGTGTTTTTAATAATAATAATAATAAAGCTAAACAGTTAAATAATAGATGGCTTAGAGTGTTATAGGATGTAGACAGATCTCAGCTCAAGGCATTTCTTTTACTACTATCGATTGTCCAACTCCGACTAAGTATGCGCCCTACAAGATGTTGATAGTGTTTTGTGAGCGCTTAACTATGTTTTGTTTCTTTTAAAGTATGAGATATTCTTTTGTCAATTAATCATTAGCATAAATGTCAATGTTTCTTTTTTTAAAATTATTTTATTTATTAGCTGACTCACCAGTTATATATGAAGGTGTTCCTGTTTCAATTATAATTTGTCGTCCACCTAATTGCCTAGATTTGGGTTTCACTTTTGTCGGTGGTATTGATACACCATTGGTAAGTTGTCATTTTATCCTTTAACACTCGTATGTTATATTAGTCATATGAAATTATTTTTCATTAATAAACTAACAAATACTAAAATAACTGTTCCACATAATCTGTGAATAATTATTCAGTAGTGCTTGGTTATGGATGATTTATGTGTAATATCACATTAACTTGAAGACATACAGGCGAAAATGAACAAGTTCGAAGAAGGAGCGGCGAAGACATGATTTCCAGTGAAGAGAGAGAGACCTAGCAGACTACAACAAGCATCAATCACCCCCAACAGGAGAACTCTAAAAGAAGTTACTTTTTCACTTACTTAGGTAGCGTCGTTTGAACTACAGACGGGAACACTGATGCAGATGTCAGAGCCAGGATCTGTAAAACAAGACAAAGCTTCCTCAATCTAAAATCAGTGTGTAAATATCTGTGGCACTCAGTATAAGGAACAAGATTTGGATTTTCAACACTAATGTCAAGCTAGTTCCATATTGTTCTGAGACTTGGCGCACACATCATGAAAAATATTTCCCCAACAGGTTTCATACTTTTACGAACAATTGCGTTCTCTTGTTGTTGAAGATCAGATGTGTAAAAAGGATAAATAACAAAGAACTCTTGCAACAAACCAACCGACAACCTATCGCCCAACAAACACTCAGAAAGAAATAAAGCTGGATTGGACATACGCTGAGGAGGAGACCACTGAGTGACATGGTCTCGACATCACTCGTCAGGTCTTCGGGTAGAACTCGAAAGGGAAGCAATAAGTAGGGCGTCTGAAAGTGACATAGAGGAGATCGTGTGAGGAGGAGAAAGAGGGGGAGGTTAAAGCTTATGGGAAATTGTAGCGCCAGCTAAAGTGGACTGCAGAGAACAGAGTGAATGTGCTGCTGAAGCCCTATGCTCCACTAGGATAAAATAAATAAATGCGGAACGTTCAATATTTGAATTTTATAGAAATTTACAGAAGTATTTTTTCTTCCCTAGTATTCATTCACAACATTGATCGAAGTGTACTTTTTATGGTTTTGTTTATAGGCATGCATACTTATACAAGAAATCTATTTGGATGGTCCAGTCGCTACTGATGGACGTCTTAGACCTGGTGATCAGTTGCTTGAGGTAAATACTGATTGTTTACTACGCAATTCTATCTGTTAATCTAATGTAATGATGGTATATGTTATAAAAAGTTTTTATTTTCGAAAGTGCGTCGGTGGCACAGGGGTTAGGACTCTCGCTGACCATGCATATGGTCCGGGGTTCGATCCTCTGCCGACGCACACCCGATATCTATGGTCGACCTGCAAAATTTGGGCTACCGATATCCATGCTGAAAATTCCATACTTGTACTGAAAATACGGTGTGGCATCAAGCTGTAATCAAAATAAAAAATAAAATTGACTTTTCTAATTGTGTTCCGTCTGCATGAAATATATGTGTGACTTCATATGATCAATCATCACTCATGTTGTAACGACAGTAGACAAGGGTCAGGTAAATGACCGTTTATTGAGAACATCGAGAGATGTTTATAGATTTTTATGTACATTATTGTCAGTGGAGAAACAAAGTCTTCTGATTGGCTGTTTTCTTGCTGAGGCTTATTCTGTATTGCTTGCGACCGTTTCTCAGAAAGTTAAGCCATATATCTGCGAATCATATTTGCACACGTTAAGTCTTCTGTGATTGTTTGTTGAGTTCCTCAAGGTTAAGTTTTGTTATTGTTTTTCTCATGACATTTGGGACATAACATTGACGTAAATTGCTGTCTACAATTTTTAGCTAGCAGCCAGATCTCACAACAATGTTACTTAAATTCTTTGTTAATTTTTTCATAGCATCTCACGAAACATGTTTTCTGATATGAGATTGTTAATAGTATAGCTTCGTAGATATCATATTCATCCTCTTACGAATTTGCTTTAATAAACGAGGAGATAATGCCATACACCGCATATTGGTTTCATTTACTATATTGTAAACTAAACTCGACGTGTAAAGACTAGTGATTACTACCCGGCGGTCTAGCTAGACTGAATCAGATTGGGTGAGTTTCGAGTCTATGACTCATGGACGTAAAGTTACGAATTTAGTCTGTTGAGCCAGTAAGAAACATACGTCAAAAGAAAACAAGTTTGATTATTGAGATATTTTCATATTTCTAGGGTCTTGTACTTAGTTTTACTTTGATTGGATATTAGGTGGTAACTACTCCTTTGTTTGGTGCAGGCTAATAAAAACAATTCAGAGTGCACAATGGTGGCGAGCCACCTAGCGTGGTGGCCACATTACAAACTTGACTGATATAATTCATGAAAACAAAACACGTAGCTCAGCGAAGAGTCCATTTTCGGTGAATTCATTTTCTTAGCTGTACAATCGCAAATATATATGAGTTATTTTGTATGTATGTGTACATTAAGTTTGTCAAACAAAAATACAATTGGTTATGGTTATTTTAACTAAACAGGTGAAAATTAGTAAGTTTTAGGTGGAGTTGCGTAATACAAAAACGGTCAAGAAAATTGAGTGTTAATGAAACTAGTGTAGTAACAAAGGTGATGAGTTGTCACAAACAGTTGTTAAAAAGGAAGTACGTAATAATATGAATAGTTTGATGATTGAGTTGTACTCAGGATACACACAGGAACAAAGTAGAGAATACGAAATTACGTAAGAGTTCTAAATGAATACAAGAATTATAAGCAATTAAAGAAACAGGCAAACAAACAAAATTAAGTCATCAAAAATCAACAAAGTTGTTACTTTGATAATAGAAGTGGTTGAGTAATTCTCTTTTGTATGCACAGCTCCGGTTTTTCTATGTGAATGGCCAGAGCTTCAGCGATACAAAGAAGACGAAACTGTATTGCCTTTGGTAGGTTATTCTTGACTCTGTAGATTACTTTGAAGCAGGAGGCGTTTGTTGAGATGGAATGATCAGTGTTAACCAGGTGTTCAATTATCGCACTCCTTATAGCACCACTATTGCCTTTTCGCAACCATGGTGGGTAGTGTTCTTGAATCCTCTTGGACAGGATGCGCGTCGAACAACCGATGTACCTGGCTCCACAGCAGCAGGTGAACTGATATATGCACATAGAAGTGGTCAGATGCGGGATCTTGTCCTTGAGGCTTCTGCAGATCAGTGGGCGACTGGAGAATACTATTTTAGCGTTGCTGCAAAGAAAGTTCTTCTCAGAGATGATGTGATCTTTCTCTTCAGAATATCGCTTGCTAAATCTTCCTTGAAATCCAAGTTCATGTAGAGTTTCTTTTCGGGCGCAAGTGAAGTTTCATTCCTCCAAATTCTTGGTTTGATATTTTTGTCAATGAATCTTATTGGGTATCCATTTTGGATGAAGATTTCTCTTAAAAGATATAATTCTGTCTTCAACAAACGAACGACTAGACGTATGACATTAGTTTCTACCTAGTGTCCAGTGTAGCCTTACAGAAGGTCAATCGCGAGCCCGAATAGCTCAGTGGTAATGCCTTTGATTGCATCACTGGGTGATACAGGCTCGAATCTCAGGAGGAAAATGAGTTCCTTCAAGATTGTAAATACACCTTGCTGATTGGTGAGTGTCAACAAGCACAAAATCTAGATCAAAGACATCCTGCCGATTACCTCCTACCATCTAATAGCTTAGATATAAGAATAAAACTTGTGCACTGTGGTAGAGTATAATTCCATTATGGATAAAATTTGTTTTGATACAGTTTCACAGTGTTATACAGTAATATTTATTGATGACGTTTCGAGCACAATTTATTGCTCATAATCAATGTGAGGCATCTAATAGCTTATTTTTACGTTGGTCTGCTCATCGCTCTTTATTTACTCTCCTATAATAATTGTTGTGCTGATAGAAAGTCCAGTAACTTGTACGAAATCACTTTTGTATGAAGTATGTTTGTGTGTTACTTTCTTTGAGTATTTAAGATCTTTTTTTAAAGACTACGTAATACTTAATGTGTTCAACTAAAAATGTTTTCCTCTCTTTTCTGTTTATTTCGTATAGGTAAATGGAAGTTTATTGACACATGTAACACATGCTGAAGCTCATCATCTTTTAACAACTCCATCATCTATAGTACAATTCACTGTTTTTCGTGAACCAGTTTCCTTGAACGCTCAACAATCTCAACCACAATATCAACAAGGTAGTCATTGTAGTTATCATTGTTTATGCATATTTTCATATGGGGTGGTAGTCTTAGTGATGCTTTTTCTTAATTGAGTCAGGTAAACTTCACTGTAGATTTTCTCATTAGTCATGAAACCATTGAAAGACATAGTGCGCTGGAATGTGGTGACTTCTTTTTCATTACATTACGTAGTAGAACTCACCAACAGTTTTGTAAAAGACTGGGTCTTGAAACTGTCAGGTTGTGATGTAGGCATGTTGTCCATTCAGCCATTGGATTGGAATATATTGCCTCACGATTTCAACTTAAGTGGTTAATTGTTTGAGATCCACAATCCATTAATGTTAATATTCAAACCATTGTAGGTGAGATACATTAAGAATAGCCAGTTACTCCTCCGTTTGTTTAAATCGTCTATCTTACAGTGTTAAGCATAAAGGCATTTTTGAAGTCTTATAGAATATAATTCAGAATTAAAATCATTTGAAAATTTGGCTTCAGTTTTCTCACGTGTTCTTTATAAGCATTGGTGCAAAAGTGAATAAGCTTTTGCTGGACCCATCTTGTATACCTGTACCATTTAGTTCTTATTCTTATTCAGTTGAATACTTTGGAATGTAGCAGTGCTTATTTTTCTTTTTATTAAAGTATGATGGTTTTGCGTTCTACCAACTGGCTGCTTTCATGACGAAGTCTGTTTTTAACCGGTTCGCAAGCATCATAATGAACTTTTTTCAACATCCAGATGTTGTGAGAGAGGACAACACTACCCAAAACGTTGACATCTAAGATTTGAGATGCACGTTGTATCTCTAAGACAAGCATACAAGACTTAAGTGTAGACACTTACTTAATACCATCTAGACGGCAACATGAATCTAAAAGTTGACGGGTGTCAGGAGATTTTTTGATTGGTTCTGATGCACTTATCGATGTGGGGATGATGTTGAGGTCTAAAGCCGAAAGCTCATTGCTGCGTTAGATCTCAATAAAATATTTGTCTATTTTGTCCGAATAAATGGGTGGGTGCCTTGCGCTGCGGGTTGGCCACCCCTCCGCACACCTCTTGAAATGCTCCCATATGACCGGGCGTCTTACATAGCCTCTCCTGAGGAAGTCCTACTCACTGCCTTCACGTGGCGGAGGTATTTTTCGCCAAAGTGAGAGGGCGAAAGCGGATGCCCGGGGCTCTTCACCGGGTTGACTGTCCATTGGATGACAGTCTAGGGGAGATGGCTAAACCCTGATTCCAAACCTCCAACGACTGGCGTATGAAGCTCACTGGAGCTCACCGGCAGAGACGTATGGACAAAGGGCTTGTTGGATGTCCTGGATGTCTGGCCCCATTCGAAAAGGCGTATGAACCGAACTCCGGTCACCGGCTGCCAATGGATAGTGGACTCCCTACTCCACTCCTACTGCCTTGTAGGTCACACTTGGTTGTGTAAAGGCTAGAGCTGCACTCTCAAACAAAAGGCCGAGCGATTCTGGGGACATCACTCGTACCAAATTCCCATGAAACTCCATGAACTCTCTTGCATCAGATCGCCGCGCCTGGGCAGCGATGATTCGAGATGTTCATGAAGCCGGCTCATCCTCCCGTAGGAGATAGCCGAAGTAAAGTAAGTAAGTAAGAATAAATGGGTCGAAAAGAATAAGAAATGGTCCCCACTTACGATCCGATATCGCAGTTATAATGAAGTTAGCGGTAACTGTCAAGGAACTTAGCCCTAAGTTCCTATTGTAACGAAGACGCTTTGAACCGATAATGACTGTGTATTTTCTCGATTTTAACTCCAAAACACCAGTATTCTTTGAACGAAGTTATATTGTTTGGCAATTAAAGCAAGATGAATTCAAGTCTACAAACAAATGTTCAGTACAAATAAAATTATAAAGTACTTTTATTCGTATTCTTCCGTCTTCATCGAACTTGCACGCCTTCGAGTTGCCCGCCAATGGTGACCAAGGTCAGTGAACCAACGTTCAATGGTTATATTCCTTGACAGTAACCGTGAAGGACAGGCAGGTAAAACGTTTGGCAGGAAACTAAGTTTTCGTGGCCTGCAACTGTGGTCTGATTTAAATGCAGTCTTCACTGCAGTTTTAATCGAATTTTCAAAAAGATGTCTAATCTGAAATGAGGTCAGACAGCACGACCTTGTGTTTTGTCCGTAGAAGTGTTTAAGGATGTTTTTTAGATGAATTATCGATCACATTATTTAAGGTAGCTAGTTGACTAATTGGCTAGCTGGTTTCAACGTGGAACTTTGAACAGACGTGTAGCAGTTCGAGTTGCCACACTCCATGTAGCACTCAAAGCAAGACCAAAACAGAGATTCGAGAGAACGTTAATCAGTGGAAATGTGAGGGAGAAAGAACAGTAACATGAAAAAACAATAGGGTTTAGTGGGCATGGTAGATCGCAAAGAGCGAATGAATGTGCGCCATTAAGAAAGATTTCAAGCTATATCACCACTTGTCTCCAGCCATTGGTTCTTAGCATATTGAGGACCCCACTCAGACAGTCTGCACCTCCCTACGTGGCTCAAAGTAACTGTCAAAGATTTCATGGACTAATTCCATATTTAAGTTCGACCACCATTAGGTCTTTTCCAACCTAACTCAATGTCAACTAACATTTTCCGTGTAAGAAGGCGGTACCAAGGCATGTGTAAAACATGTCTTAGCCATCTCAATCAATGTAGCTTCACAACCTTATCGATAGATTTTTTCTCCTTACCTAGCACTCTACGCCTAACCTCAATATCAGTCATCCTATTATACCACCTAAAAGGGGAGATCGAACGCAGACATCTACTATCGGCCTAGTCGGCCTTTTCTTGTCTTCCGCTTCTACTGGCCATGTCTCACGAGCCATAAAGGAGGGAGCAAACTGCTTCTCAGTACGGCACTGACTGTACTGTATTTGAAAATTATCGATAATGACACAGATATGCCCTATTTCTATTACTAAAATTTTGAAAATCATTGCTAGTGTTCATTAGATCATTTCCTCTCCCACACATCTTCACACCTTTACATTCCATTGAGTGCAGAAAATATTAAAGGTTTTTAAGGGTACATTATAAGACGACATGCAATAAAATAGGATAAATTTCACTACTTTGCAATACCGTCTACCGTTGCCGTCAGTAGTTACGTTTTTGGACTATATGTGGTGGTGCATTTGGGTGAAAAGTAAAGGAATCTTTTCCATTTGTACTTGAATTTCGTTGACGCACCACTCCTTAAAGTCAATCGACTTATATCCATGTAAATCAATCTTGAAATAGTATCTCACTTCATTTCACTGAATGAGATAATCTACTAACACCAATTTTTTTTATGAAGCGCCTATTAATTTCTTTAAAAACTATGCTGATATTTTGACTTACTATCAATATTTATTGATTTATTTTGCTCCTCCTTTTGCGTTTCCAGTGGAACATATAGGCATCAATCATGAACTTACTTTAAAGTTTCAGTAGTAGTGGTGTTTATTTTTTACATAGTAGGCTGGTTAGGGTGCCTCACGTGCAACCTTCCCTCTTTACCGGACTTACTGCGCTGTCTTAAGCATAGTTTAGGAGTCAGTCGACTGGAAGTCGTATCTGGACCATGAGTATGGTTGGCGAGCATTCAACCATTGGATCACCACTGAATTCACTCAATATCTAGGGAGTGGAGTGGGCGAACTGATGTTAATGGAGATGAATCCGTCTCGGACAGCTATTTCATAAACCTCTATACTCTTGCTCTTTAACCTAATTATTCATTGAAATAGATTAGGAAATAACAATTGTTCTTTTTTTTATTTGTGACCTCAAACTTGTATTGTAAATAAGTCACTCAACAGTTGTATATTCCAGCCTAAAGAGTTCATTACTTTCATTTTCATTGGAAATGTGTGTAATCTGTCTGAAATAATAGAAATTTTATCTTATAAAACACCAAGAAAAGTTTAACAACTGTTTTATTTCGATTTTTGTTTCATTTTTATTAATGAAGATACCTCTATACATACATAGACACCATGTAATATATACGCATGTATTGATTAATTCACTTATACGGTGTGTCTTTGATTGCCATCTTTTTCGAGTTAGTCACTATCTATGCAATAGCATAGCCTGTTTACATGTTGTTGCTGTTTTTATTTCAAAGGAGAAAACACTCCATTGTTATTGTGTTTCATTCATTATGAGATGACTTATTCTATATAGTTGTTAAAATGCTGTCATTGTTTATCCGCTCTTCTTTTGCTTCCCTTTCCTTTCTGTAGAAATATTCTATGTTAAATTGTGTAAACGTCAGGGGAAAGTGCTTGGAATTAAACTTGTTGGAAAAAAGTAAGTGTGATTCATAACATTGAATGATGAAATTAATCGCTTTTTATGTGTAATAAGACTGTGATGGTATGTATAGTAAATGTTGCCGTCCCTCAGCCTCCCTCTCCCCCTCCCTTTGTGTGCGTGTGTGTAGGGTTGTATTGGTGGTTAAAATGTGTAAAAGCCGAATACTTGACCTACTAGTTTCTGTTTTCTTGTTGTTTATACGATTATTCATTTAAAGAAACATTTCATTATGACTGTCGCTATTGTAAGTGATTTTATTATCAATATTTTTGTGTAGGTCTTGTTGTCTTGTCCTTACTGCTTAATTTTATCTCATATATGAATGTTAGGTACAAAATAGAAAATTTCAACATTAGTCACGAACTGACTTAAGCTAGAGAGATTCATTGGAATTCAGAGAGTACTGGAAGTCTGTTTCGTCCAGTAAGCGGTCAGGGATCGAACCCATGACCTTCAGGTACTTCTAGAACCCCCTGGTTTTCAATGATTCTCTGATTAAAGTCTCTTCGTAATTAAACTCGAAATTAATCATATCCCTGCAAACCAAAACTTTAAAACACTGTATGCACAAATAAATGATATACGTCAATAATGCTTTGGAGATTATTGTTATGTATTTGCATAGACTGTATTCTCTTATTGGAAATAAAATGAATAACGGAAGCCGTACACGTGCTTTTTCTCTCAGTATTGCGTGGTATCAATCCATGCAGTATTTGAAAGTTGGTTTGGGGTAGCCATGTAGGGTGGGGGTGTAGGCTGCCTAGTACGGGTCTTCGAGACGTTACGAATCAATGGCTTCGAACTTTTGGTGGTATGACCTCAAATGCATTCACTGTTTGCAATTCTATAGATCCACAAATGCTTAATATTTTTTCCATGTTACTATTCTTTCTCCCGTACATTTCAGTTCATTATAGTTATTTCTGGATTTTTCTTTTCTTCTTTCTGCCATTATGTGCTACATGGAGTGTGGCGACTTGAACTGCCGCACATATGTGCAAAGTTCTATGTCGAAAACCGACCGACCGATCTTTCCTGGCCGGCCATCTGATCTTTAGTATTGAGCGAAGACGGCTGTTGATGAAGTTCTGTAGTTTGTTCGAAGTGCCCTTCGTGACGCCGTGCCAATTCTCTGATCCATATAGTAGCACTGACTTCACACCGGAGTTGAAAATCGGGATCTTATTTTTCATGCTGAGTGTTGTTGATCTCCACACAGACTTGAGAGTAATTAAAGCTTGCCTTGCCTTCCCGATCCTCGCTTTGATATCCTCATCAGTTCCGCCTGTAGTAGTAGCTTAATCCAATAAACTCTATATTTTTAATTCACATTAAATATACCAGTTCACTGTTACTGATGTGGTGAAATATTTGTGTCAAGATAAACAGTAAAAAATACCCTGTGAAATGAAGGCTAATGGTATTTACTACTATTTTATTTCTTTGGGTTCCCGGTTTAACATAGGAGTTTCAAGCTTGAGCTGTGAAGTCTTAGTAGTACTGAGGTGGAGTTGCTAGCCTCATAACCAATCTTCTCTTCTTTATCAGGCTTACTACCAACTAAGTTAGGTTAAGGAGTGTGTCAGCTGGGGATCATCAAACCTTTGACTACGTGTGGCATCGTTGGCGAGTATTCTATCACTGAACCATCCAGGCGTAAACGGAGTGCGTCTGACGGGAAAGACGATGACTTCGACGATATTACTGAATTAACTGGTGGAGATCTTATCTTCCATGTGTGAGACTTCGGTATGTGGAAACTTATGCTACTACATATTGTAAAGATTGAAGTAGGGGGAAGGGATTTTGAAATCTAGACCCAATGACTGGAAATCAACTGCTTAAGTTAATTATTTACACAATAGTTATGTCGATTGTTTAATATCTATGGATAAGCAGTCACTATCATTAAGTGAGACATACTTATCAGTGTCATACTAGATAATTCCTCAAAATAAAGTTTACTAGCAGAACAGTAGTGATTCAATTCCATAGTAAACCCAATTAAAAGAATAAAAGTGGTGCTTGTATATGTAGAATGTAATTTTAATTTCACAATTAAAGATGACTTTGGAAAAGTGTAAGTTACTGGGACAGGTACCCGAAGACTCAACCAACTTCCACGGTGTGGGCAGCCGGGAAGTAACAACCGCCCACACACTTCCAAAAGCACACGAAGCCAGAAAAGATCAGCAACAGGGAGGGATCTCTGGGAGCAAACCAACCCAGCAGGAGTCGTTTGTGCAACAAATATGCAGGAGAAAATGGAGATGGATTGGCCATACTCTGAGGAAACCATCAAGTGACATCACACGCCAGGCTGTCCAGTATAACCCATATGGGAAGTGGCGAGCTGGTCGTCAGTGAGAGGGGGACTTGGAGGGGTTCATGTGAAGAGGAGATGAAAGTATGTGGGCAGACGTGGAGCCAGGTGAAAACGTTGTCAGAGAACCGAACGCAATGGAGACGTGCGACTGAAGCCCTATGTTCTTCTAGGAACTAAAGGAGACAATAATAATATATTGGATTTAAAATCATATTCTGTGACAAGAATTTTGCTGTAAATGTGTAACCCCTTATGGATAGGGATTTTTTTATATATTTAATATGATTATGCAACACATTCTCGTCCAGTGAATTGTACATAGTTTTACACTTTAATGTAAAAATCTACTTATTTTAAAGTAGAGTTTGAGACGCAGGTCTTAAAGACAGACAATTCATATGTGATTGATTGACTTTCCCCTGAGCGCAGCATAAACTCTAGTTTAGTAAAGGAAGTTATTCATGAATACATAAAATTGCTGAAATATATGCGTATGGTTTTTTATAGAATATTGTGTTCCACTATATTTTTGTAAAAAAATTTATGTCAAAAACGTTTTTTATTAAATTTGTTTCCTACACTTAAGACTTATGTTTGAAGAAAAATGAATGTTGAGTTCTTCTCTTCACATTTTTTAAAAAATTTGGTAAAATGCTGTTATAATGTAACAGGTTGTGAATGAAAAGGAAGTGTGAAACAAGAATGCATTGACATATGTATATGTATATGTTATATTTCTAAAAGAAATCTCAGTAATCCCGATGCGAAAATTAATTCAAACATTTCTCTCAGCAAACTAGTCTAGTTGAATTATTGTAGATTTTTTTAAAAAGCGCGTAGTATGTAAGGTTTTCTTTATTGTCCTTCTATTTTTGTTTCCTCTATTGTTAAGCTTCTTTTATGGTACTCGTTATTTGTTATCGTACTGTTTTCACTCTGCAGAAGTAACCAGCTGGTGGTTGAAGTAAATAACTATGGTCGTCGAAGCAGAAATTGTCCAAGTCTTGCATGTTGTTGTAGTGATGTGGCTGATTTGCTTAACTGCTTTAGTTTTGGCCGATGGACAACCGGTTTGAGTCCATCTCCACTTACTTCAACGTAGGGAACTAGATAGTATTGTAACAGCAGAAGGCAAGACACGGAAGCCAGCGTATACTTTCAACTGATCAAACGGATGTATATATATACACATATATTCTTTAACCAATCGCTGAGCTTGTGGTTTTGGTTTGCATTAAACGACATGAAGTAGAATGTTCTAACATACATAGTATTCTGTTGCTAATTCAGTATTGAACTGTGGGAACATGTGAGAATAATATTCCGTTGGCATGCATTGTCTGTATCACACCACCACAATATCAGCAGCCCATAAAAGATAAATGTGGCTGTTAGCTTATTGTTATTCTCTTAGGTTCCGAGTGAAACAATACATCTGCACTTCATCCATTCCCCCTACAGGTTCTCTTCAGTTGGATGCACCTCCACCCCACCCCCCAGTTAACAGTGATCTTCCCATTGAAACTGAAACGTTATACATATTGTTTCAATGTCAAAACGTTATCTACTAGATTACAGGGCCAGTGAGGTCCCCTGTTACTCAACTATGGTTCCAGCTGTTATTTACGTAGAGATTATTTTGAATTTCCCGTAGATTGATTTAATTGGGCTCGATCTCTGTTGTCATTTTGACTCTTATTGATGTAGCGTGATACGTACAATTTATGCCAACGGAATGTTATTCTCACATGTTCCCACACGGTTCAATTCGGCATTAACAACAGAATACTATATACCTATGTGAACGTTCTATTTGATGTTAGAGACAGAATACTTTCCCACAGTTCAATACTGCATTGGCAACAGAATACTATGTATATTTGAACATTCTATTTCTTGTCGTTTGATGTAAACCGAAATCACATGCTCAGTGATTGGTTAAAGTATATAAACTGTATAGATATAAATACCTGTTTGATCAGTTGAAAATATACCTTGGCTCCCGTGTCTTGCCTTCTGCTGTTACAATACTTTTGCAAAATGCTACAGTAAGCACGCTTCCGACAACGTGAATATATCTAGATTTATAGACAACAACTCGGTCACATTGGCTTTTTATCACAATAAAGATCAATAATTTCTTCTCCAGGAATAAATTAAAGTACGAAGAAGACTCAAATGTGTACGTGGTATATATATATATATATATATATTACCACTTGGCACCTAACTTACTTAGTCTGACTGTTGACTGATTGAATTTCGGCACAGAACTTAGCTTTTACTCATATTCTAGAGGTTTTCTCACGCCTAAATTTCGACTTCTGACATTCGCCTGGATTTTACTCTGGAGTAGCAATGAAGACAGAGGCGCCTTGACTGAAGCAAAAAGGTGTTTTCAAAAAAACCAAAGGTCATAGAGCTAGGAACCCATTTGGGAATCTATAACTTGAGCTGTAAATATTTATTTATATAGAAAAGAAAAGGCGTTCAGCAAAGAGTTACTCTTTTCGGGGATATCATTCTCAAGCTGTACAAATCGCAAATTTATAGTAATTTTTCTTGGCAACAAAAGGAATATTTCCAAAGATGTGTTAGTGCAATTGTTAATTTTTTGACAACAAATTACGTAATTAAGAAGGCGTTAATCGGTTAGAAACTAAAA